GGTTGAGAGGGGCGCAGCACAACGGCCGGGCATGGATGCCAGGCAGCAGGGCTGCGGGGGGGTAACGCCCCCGCACCAAGGGGCAGTACCGGGGCTATCTGCCAGGCACCAGCTCAGCCAGCAGCCGCTGGTGGCCAGACAGGGGACAACCTGGCCTGGGGCAGGGGGGGCGCTCAGCACCCCTGGGGACATGCGCCATGCCTGGCAGGGGGGCTCTGGCACCCCCGTCGCCAGCACCCTCCTTACTTCGCAGATGAGATCACCACCGAGTGCTTGTCCGACTCCAGGATCTTGGCCAGGTGGAAGGCAACAGAGTCGGCGTAGTGGGAGATCTGGGCCTGGGGGGAGACAGGGGAGGGCAGTTGGAGCTGTGACACCCGGCCGGGTGCCCCACGCCAGCAGGGAGCCTTGCCCAGCCAGCCCTGGGCTGGGGATGAAGAGCTCTCGTCGTCCCGCTCCCCCAGCCCCGAGGGCGGCCGTGCCCACACCGCTGGGCAGAGGGGATGCTCAGCCACAGCAGGTGGGAAACGGAGGCAAAGGGTGGAGGGGGAGCACAGAGAAGAGTCCAAAATAACCTGCTGGCAGCAGGCCAGCTCCACCTCACCCCGCTGCCCCCTCCCAAGCGCATGTGCCAGGCTGAGACCTGCCAGACTCATTTCATTGCACACTGCCAGCCCCCTCGCAGCCCCGTTCCCAGGGACTCCCAGCATGATCCCCTGTGCGATCCCGCCCTTCATGCCCTCAAATTGACTGATGGGGCGAGCAGGGACCTGCCCACCAGCCTTCCCTCCCCATCTCGAGCCCTCGGGCCCCAGCAGTGCCCAACCTGGATGTTGGAGTCCCCGTTCTCCTCCTCCTTCAAGGCCGGGGGGGACTGCTTGGGGGCCTCGTAGGTCAGCACGCTCCACCTGCCAAGCAGAGGCCACAGCTGCCGGCCAGCTCCCGGCACTGGGCACGGGGACACAAACAGGCTGCCCAAGAGGTGCAGAGGGGCGAGCAGAGAGGAGCACGCCCCGCGCCGTGCTCACCGGTCCAGCATCTTGGTGGTGGCCCTTTCCAGCTTCTCCAGGATCTGCAGCAGCTGGGTGTCATCGTCACACAGGCTGCCCCAGCCCAGCACCCGCGCCAGGTCATTGCCGGTCCCCAGGGGCAGGACACCCAGCTGGCACTGCGGGACGGGGTGGGAAGGGTGTCTCAGAACAGCCCCCACGGGCACTCACGACACCCCCCAACCCTGCCGTGCCCATCGCTCACAGCACCCCGGGGCACACAGGGGTCTCCCAGCTGCGGCGGGTGCTGGCGCTGGGGACGGTGCCAGCCCACGCCGGCGATGCCAGGTGCTCCCGCTCACTTGCTTGTGGAGGCCAAGGGTGTCGATCTCGGAGAGCACCCAGCCCACGCTGCCGTCCCCCCCGCACACCAGGATCCGGAAGGTGGAGAACTTCTGGAAGAGGCGCAGCCTGGGAGGTGGACAGGAGAGAGGGGCTGGGGGCTGTGCCAGGCACCCACTGGGACCCTGCTGGGGCCACCCCAGGGCACCCAGGCCAGCGCTTACCCTAGGTGGGGCCCCCCATTCATGAGGTCAAAGACTTGGGCCGGGTTGAGGAACTGCTTGAACTTGCGCAGAAACTTGACGCCCTGATTGTCCCCGCTCTTGGAGTTGACGAAGGCCAGGAGAGGGCTGGAGCAGGTTGAGGGGCAGGTGGCCTTCCAGAAACCTGTGGCAAACCCAAGTGCGTGAGCCCCCAGCCCCAGCTCCCACCTCCCAGGGACACTGGTGGCGGCACCTTCGGAGAGCAGAGGCCGCGTGGACACCCCGACGGAGCTGTGCCTGACGCGCGGGGGCACCCCAGGCAGGAGGGACAGTGATCAGTGTGCCCAGTGGATGGTGAGGGGTGGGAGGAAAAGGAAGAGATGGCAACAGGGTGGGATGGGGATAGGGATGGGCAAGGCTAGCGCTAGGGCAGACCCAAGTTAGGTTCCTGCTCCGTCACTCTCCTTTCAGGCACAAAGCACGTCACCAAGCTGACTCGCGTCCCCTCAAAAGGGGCAGCGGTGGTGGGTGCATGGGAGGGTCACTTTCTCCCTGTGCCAGCAGCTCGTCTGGGACTGACCCAGCAAAACCACATGGGAACAGGGCACGTTCCCATCTGGGGGTGCTCCCAGAGGTGGCACCGGCAGCTGGCAGGACCACAGGGGAGCAGCCACAGCCCCAGGGGGCTGTACTGTCACCCCCAGCTCTGCTGCCTGCTCCTGCCAGGGCTCTGGCGGGGTGGGTGTGAATGACGCAGAAGCCTCAGGAGGGCTGGCAGCCAGCACCATGCTTTTAAAGAAATGAGATGGGGGATGAAATGTGCCCGAGGCAGGGGAGGATGGA